AGTAATAACTCATGTTTTTATTGATTTATCAAACTCTCTTTCCCAACCATAAATTATTTTTTAGGTAACGTATAAGAATCTTTTGTTTCAAAATAATTTCAATTTAATATATAAAGAAGTACGAATTTTCTAGATTATCTTAGAATGTAATATGTATACTTACACGCGCGCGCGCGCAAACACACACACACACAGAGAGAGAGAGGGGGGGAGGGAGAGAAAGAAAGAAATAACAAATAAATATCACTTGTATCAAGTAAATATCACCTTTATTAAGTATATAATAAAAATCAAGTACATAATAAAAATTCTGTTTACTTATCTAATAAACGTGTTTTTCGACGAAAATTTATATTATTTTCAAAAAAAGAATATGTTCTTTTAAGTATATAATAATCTTTTTAAAACTTTGACAAATATATTGTAATGACGAGTATATTATTAAGAAAATTTTTCTTTGAAGTTAACTATTGCTTAAAAGAAAAAAATAAATTGAATAATTATTTTTCTTACGATAGAATGATATTTTTTTGTGTATATGTATGTATACAGATAACCTAACTTAACGCGGTATTTGAACAACGCGTTTCGATATAATGCGGTTTACAAGTTGTAGTAAAATAAAGTCTAACTCGTTTTTTCAATATGCGCGCTTATGCAAGTCTCATATAACACGATTTATATAACACGGCATTTTTGTGGAACGGAATATCCACGTAAGTTATACGAAGGTTACCTGTAAAAATTTTTTCTGAAAGATTTAAGATTTGTGGTTTGAGATGCAGTTAGATAAAAAACAAAGTACTAAAATAAAATACAATAATATACAAGTTTCTGCAAATATGAGATGCAAATACTAACTGCAATGAAAGCAAAAGGAAAGACAAATAAAGATCCTCAATAGTATAACATGGGAAAAAAGTATATAAAGTTTTTTTATCAAAGATGATTCATCATTATTTATCTTACATGTAGAATACTCTGTATATTAATTATGTTAGTTTTTAATTATATTTTAGTTATAAATAAAATAGAAGAATTATCACTACATGCTACACTACACAACAAGATAAAGTGATATATTGTCCTCTTCTCTTCTTCTCTCTTGTGAACAATATAATTTCCTATTTCCTTGATACACATACAATGTATGTGTTTCACAAGGTCGTATCTGCTGTTTAGATGGACAAGATTGAGAGTCGAGATACTGACAGAAAGTACGATCACGGTTCAGAGAGAAGGGCGGGCAGAGGAAAGCTGGAGGAGGGAAAACATCAGGGCGGAGCTTGAACATAGGAGGAGGAATAAAACCGCGCAAACTCGCAACGAGCATCTCTCTCTCTCTCTCTCTTTCTCTCTCTCTCTCTCTCTCTCTCTCTCTCTCTTTCTCTCTCTCTCTCTCTCTCTCTCTCTCTCTCTTTCTCTCTCTCTCTCTCTTTTCTTTTCTCTTTCTTTTTCTATACTTCTCCCATCGAACAAGGAGCCACCCCATCCGGTTTTCCTTTTTTTTACCTTTATAGATTTTTTAGCCGCGCAGCCTTCTTTTTTCACTCACCAAAAGACATGCGCAAATTGCTGCCCGAGCACTTCTGATTTTTCCTACTCAGTCTTTCCCTCTCTCTTTCTTTCTTTCTTTCTTTCTTTCTTTCTTTCTTTCTTTCTCTCTCTCTCTCTCTCTCTCTCTCTCTCTCTCTCTCNCTCTCTCTCTCTCTCTCTCTCTCTCTCTTTTTCTCTCTATCTTTTTGTATCTTTTTCTTTAGTTTTTCTGTTCTTTATAAGGGCTACACAATTTGGTAGATTTTAATGAATCATTTATTTTTATTTATACTAGTTGCCAAAATTGCTCTGCTTTTTTCGAATTGTTTTTTATTTATTGCATCATATTAAATATATTTTTTTGTTCATGAATACCACCACAGTAAGTTATTTATTTGTTTCTGAAAAATGATTAGAATGATTAAATTATTTATATACATACTTATATGTGTACTTTGTGTGTGCGTATATTTTAAACCAAATAACTACTATCAATAACCAAAAAATAGCAAAGAAAGCGACGAGCGAAAACAGTTTAATAATAGCAGTTTGATTCGATTTATTATAGCATGGAAATTGAAGATCTTATGACTTCTTGTAATCCTTTTGCTTGCCTTCTTTCGAACCAGTTATTATCCGTAAGGAAGCTTCTTTGTTAACTTTTCTTTCTTCTCAATTTATCGGACTTCTTCCAGTTTGGTAACGAGTCTCGCTTGTGGCTGCAATAACTAATCGTGTATGAAACGGTGAGACGGCTATTTGCCGAGTCACACACAGGTTTGATTTTTGCAGAACACAAGTCCCTTAATTTCAGACTTAATTAACTTTCAATGCACTTTACGAAGAGGTGTCAAAGTACTTGTAAATATGCACACAGAAACGTTTTGCTATTATATAGTCAGCTAGAAAAATTTGTTGAGTCTACTGTAATTTTGTTTCATCAACAAAACAACTTGTTAATAAAACAAAAGTCTCAATAAGTTTAACAAATTTTTCTGGTCATATAATAACCAATAATTTCTTGTTATTTTAGTAAATCTTTTTTTCGTGCAGGTAATGTTGTTATATATATGTTTACAGCAACTAAATGATATGTTGAATATTTCAGAAAATGATCACATTTGATCAAACAATAAATTACACGTTTAAAATGTTGCATGTTGGCAAAAAAATAAAAGAAATCAATAAATTGCAATCGACAAAAGTGTTGGAACAAAGTTATATTTTATAGATCTGTTTTGTAGGTGTGTGTATTTAAAATTTTAAAACTTAACAGTTCTGTTAGCCCTTATGTATGATATGTACATATGACACATCTGCAATCCTTTTTATCATTAAATTGAGAGATTTAAGTTATGTACAACATAACACTTATATAAAATATAATTTGATAATATGTGAATGTGTGTGAGTCAATTCGTGGAAAAAGCGTTCGATTATGCGTGAGTCTCATTAATCCTTATTGAATTCTCTTGCTTCAACAACTATTAAGTTGATGAACAACAACTTTTTTCAACGATATATTAAAAAGTGGAAGTGATTTTATATTTGTTAGTAGCAACAGTCGTTGAGATAAGAAAAGTTTACATTTAACGACAGAGATTAATGTTACATCTACCTTAAGAAAGATTGCTGAAATCAGCCGTCAGCTTTTTTCAATCCAATTAACGTGAGAGGATTATTTTGGAAACACTGTGGTTGCGGTCGCATAATAGACTACTACGATTGTCTTCTATAGCGCGAAAGGATTAACCCATAAATGAGCGCAACGACTCGGTTTTAAAGAACGCGAAATTGTCTCCTTCTCTCCCTCCCCCGGTATCATGAAATCGTCGGAATTGTGCCTCGAACTCTCTTCTGCTGTGTCTGTGGATGTTAAAGTTTTTCCGATAGTATTCACGTTTCAATCAAAATCATTCCGACGCTAATCGGTTTCTTTGAGCTTTGAGATGTTGCCGGTTATCACGCAAATAATACTGATAAAAGACGACGAAATTGATACTCGATTGTTATTTATCGTAAGATGACAAAACACTACTGATATCAAGTGCAATCGATTTACAGTGTTATTTAAAAAAAACAATAATGAAACCAAGTACAAAACACATATTAAAAAGTATTCTCGTATAATATATCTTCTCGCATTTATAAATTTAAAAGCTGTATTGAAATAAAAGAAACAATCGAAAATAATCATAACAAGTATCAAAGACTCGATCTTGTCAACTTGAAACTGTCCAATCTTTGGAGTTCTCATATTTAGCAGAAAGGATTTCTGACAAATCTTTCTATTGCTTGTTTCCTTAGAAATTATCCGATAATTTGTAAGAATGAATGAATGAACGAATGAATGAAATAATATTTCATTTCGGAACTTTATTGTAATTCGAATTTAAATTTCTTTTTCAAACACTGGAGAAACTTCTTCATTCAAAACTTTTTTTAGACAAATAAAAACTCAATAATTAATAATAGTTTTATAATGCTTTGAAATTAAGTCTTCAAAATTAGTTTTTGATCAGCAGGACAGTTTAGTACCTAGCTTTTAACAATGTGTTTTTAATATGTTAATCACAGATATATAGATACTTTTTACTGCATGTTATTAAAAAAATTTGTTTGTTGTAAATTGAATTGTAAACCATTATAAATGTATTTATAATGGGATTTTCTAGTATGTACTTAGCATGTACGCGAAGGCAAAGAAATACAATTGCGATATTCCCTGTCGTGCATCTAGTAACCCGTTCTTTTGCCTTTCACGTGGCATAACGAGAATTCTGCGAAACTATCGCAAGGTTGTTGCTTAGATTAGGAACGATGCGTGTGTGCACGCGAGCTACGTGACGTACGTTACGACAGCGCAGCACGCGCGTTATTTGCGCGTACTCGTTACACGGGAGAGTTCACTATCTCTCACTCAATTTAAGCCTCATCCGCTGTAAGCGGATCGACCAAGCTGGCCTTTTAATGTCGGATAGTCTCGCCTCTCTCTCCCGGCTGCGAGGTATAGACGCCTATAACAAACATTATCCGCCATAATGCTCCCGTGTAAACATACCTACCTACGTGGTGCACCAGCTTCTCGTCTCCTCTCCTCGTGTTCCTCTCTTTTCTGTTCAAATAAAAACTTGCCTCTCGAAGTTTATTTAACCGTTTAGCTGGCGAGTTAAGTTTCACGCGGTTAAATCGACGACTTTTCGGCATTTTGCTTTTATAATTCGTGTGGCCACTTATTTTTAGGTGTCAATAGTAACACGTGACGCTAACAGTCTATATTCGACAATGCTTTTAGACTTTACAAAGTTGTATGCAATTCACCCCGCCAGATCATTTTGTTTCATATACTTATAGCTTCTACTTTTTTCCCGTATTATCTCTGTTTACACACTTTTTTCTTCTATTATACTTTTTTTGAATTGTGAAAATTATAGGTAATAAGTGGAAACTCGTATGTTTTTTAGACGAAAGAGTACGCTTGTGACAACGGCTTGTCGGTAGCGGAAAAAGAAGCGCAAAAGCTGGTGGATAACGCGAGACGGCCATCATCGCATGCGAGCGGTATCGCTCATCGGAAGAACAGCTCGTGGCCGGCGGAACAAGACAGAAGGAGTAGCGCGTTAAAAGAACGTGATAACAGCGGCGCAGTGGCGGGTGAGCTGGCTTGTCTTGCGGGCTACTTGAATATGGCGGGTTACCTTACAGGCGCGACCTGCGCCTCAACCGGAAACCATCAGTATCATCCCCACGGACATCCAGCAATGGGGGTTGGAACGCATCCGCATCCTCATTCTCACCCTCATCCGGGTGCGTCGCACCCCGCTTTACCGTCACCATTCGCGCTCGCTACACACGGCCATCCGCATGCTCATCCTCTCGAACATGGACTGGCTCCTTTTCCACAAGGTGAGTCATAAGTTTTTTCTTTCTAACCGAGAGTTTAAAATATTGTAGCGCAGATATCTTTTTTCGATTAGATAAAAACATTTGCTTGTAATTTGATGCGATATATGTTAAGCAAATAAAAGAAAATTAGAAACTAGAATTTTTTTAACATAAAAATCATATTTTTTAAGAGATACATTAAAAAATCATTTAATAATTAGGTCACTAAATTAGTGCAAGTTATAAATTTAAGAAATTTAAGAATTCATTTAAAAAATAGAGTTGACCTTCAAATGCCTTTGAAATCGTCTACAAAATTAAAAAACATCGATGCACTTTTCTTTCCCTGTTGAAATAAAAACAATTTTTGTCTGAAACATTTTTTCATAAAATGCTTGGTTTTCAAAATATTCTGTTGTTTTAATTTAAATGGCGCATCTTGTATAATATGACACATACCTTTTGCTACGTTGTCGCAAAAACCAACTTTTATTTGAAACATAAACGCTTTGTTTTCAAGATAATGTATTATATTAACTAGAAAAAGAAAACATTTTGTGTGTGACATTTTTATTATATAATTTATCATTATACAGAGTGTCTGTTAACTTTTGACACAGCCGAAGTGTGTAAGTAGATTAGGTAAATCTGAATATAAAAGTCATTTACTATTTTGCAAACTTCGCTTAACTTAATAGTTATTAAGATATAAATTAATAAATGTGAGCCAATAAGCGCGTGGGAAATGATGATCGGACCGTATAAGCGTGCATGATTATCAGCTCTAAAGAAGAACGGTTTATTTCATGCAATGTCTTAGCAACGACAGGCAGAATAAACAAGCAAAAGCGATGTGTAGCTTCTTGCAATCATCCGATACTCGGCGGTACGCAACGAGTAACAATGAGAAAGGGGAAACCACACTGATTTCCGCGATCAGCTGATTCTCATATTCGTTATAACATAACGAACAACGACGAGCGGCATGTGGCATAGCCACGCGCCGAAAAATAAAGAAAGAGCATCCTCTCATCCGATTAATAATGTTTTTTAAGAAATGACAGCGCTTTTCTTACCTTTACGCTAGATAGCGGTTTTATATGGAAGTCCTCAGGATTCCTAAACTACTCATTATTTAATGCACTGCGTATCGCAAGAAAGAATACATTAGGTGTATTGGACACATACTGGAAGTTCTCGTCGTGAACACTTACAGATTTTTTTCGCACTTTATACACATATCACGCTCTGTAGAATATTGTATGACCGGAAAATCACTGCACAAATTGGAGCTGCGCAACGAACAGTTTATTTATAATTCTTTTTGTTGGTGTAAAATACCACGGAAGCTTTTTTGCGATTGAACATGCACGCGATCCGCAAATATAAAACGGTATCAAGCTCGGCACATAATGATCTCTTACTCGAGAATCAACTGACTGATCGTTTTTTATTTTTCATCGGCGACAATTGTTTCTGCTTGGATTTGTGTGTACGACTTACATTCGTGCAGTCGCGTATTTTTAACGAAACAAGCTTCCGTGTTCTTTCACAGCAACAAAAAGAATTATCGACACATCTCGATAGTAGAATAATTTATTTTGATTAACAAAATGTGCAAAGTCCATGCTTTTACGGTTAGTCACTATTACTTTTCATTATGTATAATATACAGTTGTGGACAACAGAGGCGTTTTTAACGTCGGTGCAACCGGTGCGATGCACCGACGGGCCCCGGGATCTGCGGGTCCTCGGTGCATGATAAACATTTATAAATTTATAATATTCATAACATTACCTATCGGAGTTGCGAGTGCCGAAAGATCATTTAGTGTATTAAGGAGACTTAAAAGTTATTTAAGAAGTACCATGACACAGGAAAGAACATCT